TCTGCCCCTTCTCTCTTTCCCCCGCCCTCCCTTTTCACGAAAAATCGATCAGATGTTGTAATGATGCGAAGACAAAAGCTGATCGAAAGTTTAGGGAAGGAAGCAATCGCATGTGGCGATGTGAATACATTCAAACAAGACTCGTTGCTTCATCCCAAGGCTGCATATCCATAACAAAATTCAAGGAAACGAAGGTTGTAAGCAGGCTGTAGCAACCAGGTTGACTTTGGAAGCCTAAATGGCGAAGGCAAGATGGATTACAACATGAGAGAAGGAGATAAGAGTGAGATAAGACGTTTTGGTCCATCAAGTAATTCAACAGCGGCACAACTCACAAGTCGCCCGCTGATAAGAATTAGTTCCGATATCAAAGATTTTTTTACTGGTACGTCGATTATTTTAAAAATCCAAATAAAAAATTACCTTTTTAACAGCACTAACTGCCATTGGTGCAAGCAGCCATGAATGCTGTGAGACGACCTGAAAATAACATTTTTCAAAAAAAAAAGACTGAGAAAGCACTCCTGGAAGGAGAATGTTGTCAGTGCTCTTTGCTCTTTTTATGCTAAACTTTGTCGTTGCTATCGGCAGCCTCGATCTGTGGCCTCTTCTACAGAAGCACTGCAAATCAGTGAATTAATCCGGTCACTATATTCAAATGCATGGCATGTCTGTTTGATTTATGCGTACATTTGTGGATAATAAGTAACAGCCATTAGAAAGCCGAATCATAAGTGGACGGTCCAAGTGGATTAATAATTTGCAGCCCGTTAAATTGATAATTTGCGGCCCGTTAAATTGATAAATAATTTGCGGCCCTTGGTAGGCCGAACTGTGATTTCTGAAGTAGATGGCCAGTCCGGACGATGGAAAATATGGAACGGCCGTGCTCCGTAAATTTTAATGTTGGGCGGGATTAGTTAATAGATTATGATGTGAACGATAATAGGCCAGATAATGCGGCACAAACCATGTGACATGCTGAAAAGTCATGTAAAGAGGAATATGTAGAAGTTGGTCTGTCTGCGTTTCATCCCTTAGCTGTAAACACAGAGAGTATAAGGGTAGAAAATCATCAGTACAGCTGCAGTTAGAAGTTGCAGTTTAGAAAGTTTCACACACCCTATGCAATACCAAACATGCATTAATAAGGCAAAATAATCTATTCCAACATCTACATAAATCTGCATAAATAAGACAGGCACAAAATAAAGAATAAAATTCTATCAGCAACGGAATCGATTGCAAAAGGCACATGACGATGAAACAAGAGTCAATTAAATTCCCTAGCAAATACCTTAGAATTTAAGCTGGTTGTAGCGATTTTTGCGAGCTGCTCATCGTTTTCAAGATCCACTGGCGATGCCACCGACTCAAGAATCTTCTCGGCCTCAAGTGATGCTCGCTGGAATGATTCCGAGATTGTGGTCGCATGAATGCCTGGAAACAAAAATATTAGCATCTTTTAAAGGACAACGAGACAGATAGCCACAAGAGAGCCTCCCTGCGCGTACCAGTAGCTCAGAAGTTAATACCCCCTGTGGCTCGACCTACTGTAATTACTTCGGAATCCAGTTCTTCCTTTTGCAGATTTCCATTAAGGGTCCTTATTAGTCGATTAATGATAATCCTCGTGAACAGCTGGTGAATATGAAACAAAGAAAGCAGAACGGGTGACAGTTTTTCATTGCTCTTTTTGTAAGAAACGTATTCTTCGATTTTCTCCAGCTGCTGGGTACCCTTTCCACATAATTCCAAAAAAAAGAACTCTCAGAACCTTTGTTGAGCAGTTTCTCGGCACCATCAAGCAATGCACCAGCAATTACAACAACAGTTGTTGTTCCATCACCAGCTTCTATATCCTGAGCTTTTGATAATTCCACAAGCTAAAAACAAAAAAAACTTTTTTCCGAAGAATAAACAAAATCCACTGCTACTACTTATTTAAATGAGTAAAAAAAGAGCCCTCTTTAAGGTCAAGTCAAAACCTCTTCCTTATTCGCTCTCACTGAGAGACGAAGACAATTAGGAAGTGGCCTGAGTGGCAGGAAAATAAAAGCAAAATTGAAGGATCAAATATTAAATGTGAGATAAGATGGTTGTAATAATCCGATGTGAAAGACATTTGCTTGAAATTGGAAAAGGCTGGTTAAAATCCCCAAAACTCATGATTTTACTACAATAAAGTACCATCTTTGCAGTAGGATGGATAACACTCATGCGTTTCAGGATTGTTGCACCATCGTTTGTGATTGTCACTTCACCTTTTCCCGTTTCAATCATTTTATCCATTCCTGAAACAGACGCATTTTATGAATCACAAATCCTCGTTACTTGTGTGGGATCATCTCAGGAGCATCATTAACACTGAATTCGTATACCAACTATCGGGGTAGTCTTGGACTTTTGGTGTAAATTTCTAGGTACAAGTGTCGCGAACGAAGCCTTTTCACAAAAATTGTCCTGAATCGGGAAGGAATCGAACCAAACCTGTCCAAGTCCCGGACACAATGCCTTACCACTACACCACCGGTCCTTGTGCTCCTGATTCAGTCTGACAGCACTCTACTGTGTATCTGCCTTTCAAGACGGGATGTACCCTTCTTCTCTTATTCTTTGTGGCAAATTCCTGGCTGACTTTTCGTAGGTTTTCCGCAACAACAAATACCATTAAATTAGTTCAATGATTCACAAAAAACTATGGCACTTTTTTAGGAAAGCAATCGCTCGATGAACCATACAGATTGGTTGCAATTAGTTCTGTACTGGAGAACCATGCCCATCGTTCTTGAATGTTTATCAAATTGCAGAAGAAATTAGTATTTAAGCTTTTTTTGGATAAATTTGAAAAACGGGGTCAACAGCAGCACAAAGGATAGTTCTGTTGGGGAAAACCCGCGAAAAGTCAGCCAAGAAGCCGCCACACAGAAAAAGAGAAGAAAAGAAAGGCATATCTTGCCTTAAAATGCAGATACACAGTAGATGTACAGCCAGGCTGAACCTAGAGCACAGGTACCGATGCTGTAGTGGTAGCACATTGCGTCCAGGCATGAAGAGGGGTGGTTCGATCCCTTATCGATTCAGGACGATTTTTGCAAGAAGGGCTTATCATTTGGCGATAAACTTCCGTTCAAAATCGTAAAAATAAACATATTTTACCAGTGTAACTATTCAAAAACTAATTAATATTTAGCAAAAAGTCCCTCAGACGCAGGAAAAACTGGCTTACCTTTGGGGCCCAAGCTCGTACGAATCGCATTTGCAACTGCCTTCGCTGCACAGATGTTGCTGCTTCGTACACTATCCGGCTTATCTTTATCCTGAAAAGATAAAAATTAGTGATTTTTTTTACGTATTCTACACTTATGCAGTTATTAGCAGGTGCAGTTAGTAACTTTTAATCCTCTACATTCATACAGTTCAAATTCACTAAGCACCGGGATCGTCAGCAACAAATACCTACTACCCTCACTCTTATCTTCTCTCAAACCGTTCTCTCAAACTATAATCTTTCGCGCCTTTGCCATTTAGGCTTCCAAGGTCAACCTGGTTGCTACAATCAACTTCTAGAGGATTTTTCAAAAAAATCCCATCTCCGGAAAATAGATCTGAAGCATCGTATCCAGTAATTGCTGTACAGCCAAAAAAAGAAACCTTAAAAGCGGTCGGTGGATTCTGGCGCGGAGCTTTCGGTGGAGCAATAGTCGCTTTTGCCATTCCTGCGGAATGAGATCACTGAAAAAACCAAAAATAACAAAACGTCAGAATCTTCAGTAAAATCACGAAAACTTTTCCAGAGCAAAAATCGCGATGGAAATCTCTCAGGATATCCAAAGAAAACTGGCAAAAATCGGAAAATGTAGTAACGTCGTTAGAAACTACGCAAGTGCGAGTTTCAGGCATACGTAGGTAGCCAGATGAACCGAAACATTCCTATTCAGATTTTAATCTTATTTTATTCATATTTTTCTTTTTTAATTCCTTACATCATTCATAAACATAACATTACTTACATCTTTCATAAACTAAAATCAAAATAA